CCCCAAAACCCCAAAACCCCAAAACCCCAAAACCCCATTTAAGATAGATTTATTGACAAATCTATAATAAAATTACTAAATGTCGTCTCCAGGTACTTTTATGACCCATAACTCAGCTGTTGATGCAAGGAATATGGTCTAACTTATGCATATAGGAGAAAATCCCAAGAAAGAGGTATTGACCTCGAACGAATGAGACCTCATAAACTCCTTGTTCTACGGACCCCAAATTGCAGGTAAATACAACATTATCGGAATTTAATATAGAATCTCAAAGAAATGGTCGCTTACTAGAGAAAGCTAAAAAGGTAAATGATGATTTGAAGAAGAAAATTGAGGAAAAGGACCTCATTATTGGTAAGCCCATACATAGAGTTCTAGAGCTTATGAAATCCCAGGTCGAGATTTGGCTTCTCGGTTATGATAGAGGGTCTTTGAGCTCTTTCCTTCAGAAAACATCTATTTTTTTAATGATCCATCCTTTATTTCCTTTAAGAGATATTGATTATTTTATTAGCTAGCCACTCAAACAACCTACAGAAAATTGCTGATCTAGAACAGGCTAATCAAACCCAACAATTTCTTATCTTCGAACTTGACAATTCACTATCAGCACAAAATGAAAAGACCAGCACCCTTGAAGAACAACTCACTCTGAAAGAAGTAGAAATAAATGAGCTTAAAGAGCAAGCAACTAAAAATACCTGTTCATGTTCTGGAAAGGAAGAAAACAAAGAAGATTGCCATGATAACTTCGATGATAAAGCTGAGTCAGGTCCTTCAATAAGTATCTTTCCTTTTTACCTATTTAGCTGACCTCACTAAGAATCTTTTAAGAACTCAAAACTATCTCTATAACACTAAGGAACAACTCAACCATTACAAAAAGAAGTATAAGGCTCTAAAGAAGAAAGTCAAGAACAATCAAAAGGAATATTATCAAGCTATGGGTTCAAGTATCAACAGCTCACATCCCCCATCCCAGAGTGAGTCTGAAAAACCATGTACGAATTCCTTAATCAGACATATAGTAAACGATGATGAGTCATTTAGCTCTCGCTCATCCTCCCAAGAATAAAATCCTAATAAGGATTTTATAGTGAGAGTTCAACAGGAATTTGAAGTTAAGGGGTTTTGGGGTTTTGGGGTTTTGGGGTTTTGGGGTTTTGGGG